CCCTACTGTGGAGAAGGAGAGAAAACTGCAAGGCTGGGGTGGAATAGCAGACCTATTGGGTTCACTTCTTTGTTAAGCTGTTAAAATCTCCCTAATTAGAGGGAAGGGTATAGCTCAAGTAGCAGAGCACATGCTGAGCATGCGTGAGGCCCTGGGTTCAATCCCCAGTACCTGCTCTACAAATAAATAAATAAACCTAATTACCTCCCGCACCACCCAAAAGAAAAAAAAATTTCCCTAATTAAAAGAAAAAGTCTGCATCTGACAAGGTGGAGGCTGTGAAGAAGGGGTTTATTGCTGCTGCATTGAGAGACCTGTTGCTCAGGTTAGAAGCTGCTTCCAGAGCAGGACAATCCCCACCGTAACTGAAGGAATGGAAGGTAAATTGAGCTTAATTATTAACATAATGATTGACGGTTTTGGCCCACTCAACAAAGTAATAGTCTTAATTCAAATCCAAGTGTTAATTTTGGCTTTTTTAGGTTAAAGTACAGGCTAAATTGCCTTGAAACTGTGATGGAAGTGGTTAAATGATTTATAACGAAGTTTTCTTTCACAAAACTACGTCCTCCTGTGTTTTTGTTCTGTGATAACTTTAGCTGTCATTTAAAGTAGAATTTGAGTTATTTATGTGCGATAAGGATCCTTGTGCTTAAAAAGGCTGCGTCTTTCTTTTTTTAGTTTTTTGATTTTTTAAAAAAAGATTTCCCTTCTAAGCTTTTTTTTTTACTTTTTTTCATCATATAAAACCCAAAATCTAATGAAATATGTCTCCAGGTTTTAGAAGAGTGAAAAGACGCTCAGAGAAAACTTTCTCGAGAGCAGAATGCCAGAGTAATACAAGATGAAATCCTGGCCCATCATCTTTCCCAACAAAAGGAGGCAGAAAAGGCTAATAAGAAAATGAATGCTGAGATATTTTCTTTAGTCATCTTCAAACATGTGTGTGTATGAATTTGTATACTTACATAGTTTAAAAACCAATACTATAGGTACAGAAAGTATAAAGTGTTTTAAAA